GACATATGATAAGGGCAAGCAATTCACTTGCGCGCAAAAGGTATACCTCTGATGGATTAGTACACAATGCAAAGTATCTTAATTTCCGGACTAATTTAGCCAGATATTGGCATCTCTTTTAAAACATAACTAATGCGTTACAAGTATCGATACTCTGGTTTTAAATAATGAAAGTAATCAAAGACTACATTCATGCAACAACCAAAGAAAAGGTAATCTTCGATTACTTTCATGATTTAAAACCAGAGTAGCGATTAATGCGATGGATTCTATTCCTGGCTGTCTGGACGTGTTAACTTCAATTCATTTCAAACCAAGTTAGGCAACTTACCTTGGAGAGAAAGAAAAAAAGCAAGCAAGGTAACAAAGTGAACACATCTTGGCAACATCTTCAATCGGAATTTGGAAAGAAAATACCTTTTAATTCCTGAGATAATTTTTCACAATCGTGAATGCAAGTGAATGCGGAAGACGAGACGAAGATGATGGGAAAATGCATCGTTTCACATATTTCCGTGACTTCAAAGCCCTTCATCTAATGTACCTATTGTTATTCCGGTATATAATGTATATAATTGCTTGCGATGCGTAGCATAGCAAGCTTTAAAATGGGCATTTTTTTTTTTTTTTTGTTTTTATTTTTTGGGTTCTAGATAGTAGACCTCCGCTCGGCCACGGGGTATAATTATTATTCAGCAACTCATTATTATTCAAGCGACTGATTATTATTCAGCCAAAAGTCTTACATCTTTTAGCTGTTTGACCTCCCCCCCCCGGATATTTAGTATCACACCATACAGTCGTCAGTTTTTCGGAGTTTTTCGTAGCTTCCGTCACAGTCAAAACACGACGCTAATGATCTTTCATCATTCTTTCATCAGATATACGTAACGCCTTCGTATATATTACCGTGACTATTGTGTTTCGGGTAGCTTGTGGGAGACATTTAGCAAGCGTGCGTGTAATACAGAGCGCATGCGTCGTTGTAAAACATCAAGCGTTTGCACTGGACTTCGTTTTAAAAGGCTTTTTGTTAACTATAGACTAACGTCTATGCTCCCTGTACGACACGATTTTACATTTTGCAAACAATGGATAGAATTGTCTGTTCGGAGGCTTACAGTTATCTGGTCGGATGTCCTTTCAGCCAGCGAGCATTGACGACATGACCAAAGTTGGTTGAAACGCGTGCCTCTATCCGCATTCACATGATTTGTTGTTGTTTGGTTCTGTACCTTTACCTTATTTAGTTGCTGTGCTATTTGTATAGACTTGGTCATAGCACTCGGTCAAAAAACACTACAGGGGTCCAAAATTTTAATTGCAAAAAAGCTGAAGAATAAAGTAAAATTTTGGATCTATAATTCTCATATTCAGTTTGTAGCATAACTTGTCTCGGAAAAGTTAAACCGATACAACTGAATAGATTCTGCTTAGGCACTGAATACAATTGATGTTTATAGTGTTGTTTATTGTACAGACCAAAGACCTTCAATCGGAGTCCTTTCTATATTTATATACCATTTATTTGTACAGTAATTCCTAGTATTTGCTGGAGTTCATGGTATTTTTGTGTATTAAATTCAGAGTATAGTATAATACATCATTTAAAAACAAGCATCACTGAAGTCACTGAAGCTCAGTGAAGTAGTGTGACTTCCTCTATTTATTAACATAACTGTCATCTTTGGCATGGATTATGGGAGTGGGATACGTTTGTTTACGCATGCATGTGATGGTACATTAGAGGAAATAATGTGCGTTGGCATTAGAATCTCTACATTGACGTTTATAGCATCGTAAAACTGCATGGCCACGTATACCACGTATTAACACCAGTTAGACTATGTGTAAAACAGCAATAACTATTCAAAGTTTATTAAGCCTTTTGAACGCCAAAACTTGTGAACATATTTCGATATATGCTTAGTGTATATATTATGATCGTGAAGCTGTTTGCCGTTTGTTCAACGGGCTCATTACTATAATAGAAGCGGTATATACTCTCCACACGAAGTAACTTCCTATAAGGTAACGTCACAATTACTATAGTTTGTAACTCGCGCTGGCCAAATATATTTGTTGGCATACAACAAAATCAAGGTTTATTTACAGTGAATCTGGTCTATTGGTGAGATTGTTCGCCAAAACCTGAAGGTATGCTGTACAACTACGGTAGTTCATGACTAAAACTCCTTTTTCGGGTGATTATAATTAGTGTTTGTCACTGATCTGGTGTTGGTAGCTAAATATAATTATCCACGTACAAATAAATCATCATGCATGACATATTTAATACTACTTGCGGTCTATTAGCGCGAAATATTATTTTAGCACTCGGTGCAATCTAAAGGCGATTTTCCACTTACAGCGAAATCGTTCGCTAGCGAAATATTTGCATATTTTCTTTTGAATTGAAAACAGTCAAGTCGCACTAATTTATTTATGCTGTTAAAATTCAAAAGAAAATATGCAAATATTTCGCTAGCGAACGATTTCGCTGTAAGTGGAAATCCGCCTTAAGCCTGGGCGGACATTTCGACTCCGCAGAGGCTGTTGGTGTATGAAAACTAAGAACGTAATATAAATGAAAAACAGCATTTTTGAATCAATATTTCTCATTTCCATACATCAACAGCTACTTCTGTAATTGCACCATGTAATCGAACCCTTAGTACAATCTAATTGTGGTGCTATCGTAGCTATATTGTTCGTAACTACAGCCTAGAATTCGCATCGCAAGCTAACGCCAGAGTGGGCGTCTTGTTTAATATAATAAGCTCATGCATTCATGAGCATGATAAAATTACTAAACGCTGATTGGTTGAGAGCAACAGAGTTGTTTCTCTAATTGTGTATGTCATGCGGCATATGGTAAAACATGGACTGAACTTGACTAGTAAAAGGTAGTCTGGACCGATAAAGTCCCGATTAGTAAAAGGTGGACTGGACTCGTTAGTAAAAGGTGGACTGGACCCATTAGTAAAAGGTGGACTGGACCGATAAAGCCCCGATTAGTAAAAGGTGGACTGGACTCGTTAGTAAAAGGTGGACTCTAACCGGAAGCACCGAAACACCGTTCCGGAAATGAACACGTAAACATACTTAGGGGGGAGGTATACACCAAAGAGTATCAAAACACTATTAGGCATTCAATATTTTATGATTTCGTACCATTGTACACAAAACAAAGACTTTATTTTGGTTATTTTGCCGTCATTCCATACAATGATTATTCTTAACTTATTGACGGTAAGCAGCTAACATCAATTTATATCAAAACTCTCTAGCTAAACATATCATTTAAATATTTAAGCTGATTCGCCCAGAGTAATATGACTTCCATTTATTTGTTCACATCAAAACTGTTTGTAATATATTTCCGTTGCTGATCAGCCTTTCCTTATTGCGGGCTATTCTTAACACACATGCAATCATGCAGGCGTCTCTTTGCCAACGTTATGCATTCCAATTTGTTTTGGTTTTTTTTGTTTTTATTTTTATCACGTGTTTTGCTGATGAACTCTCCAGACGAAGGCCTCAGATCGAAGCGTCGAGAAGTGTTTTGTCTATTTTAGGCAGTTGTTGTACCACATTTGATGCTAAGAAAACCAGAGTAGCGATTAATGCGGTGGTTTGTATTCCTAGTTGTCTGAACGTGTTAACTTCAAATCATTTCAAACCAAAGCCGGCAACTTACCTCGGAGAGAAAGAAGGTTTAAAGGGAAAACCCGCATAAGTGTTACTGTGCAGAATCCAGACCCCAACTATACTAATTACCCCAGAGGATTCATTCAATGAATAACTTCGTGGATTTTGCGATTTGAATCATGACCATGTCGTCCATCATATCTGACTCAGGTTATGTGCACACGAGCGTCGTTTTCAAGCGTTTTCAAAATCAGTTTTGTCTATTTTATTGCTTAGACGCCCTTGACCTTGTCTACACGATCCCAAAATATTCCTGATATATTAAATTAGCTTCAACTTCTATTGTAAATTGACGGTGTTTGAAACCGTTTGCATGAAAACGAATGTGACAACAGAAAACGCTCGGAAACATTGCAGTGTGCACATAGGCTCAGTCATAATCTTGAATTTCTCACCGAATAACTTCTTCTCTAAAAGCTATTTAACGGCTTGATTTTTGCTCGAGAAGTATTAGAAGGATATTTTCGTGAATTATCCGTGATAGAATTGCGTTTAAACCAGTTTAGACAAAATATCTATAGCTACTTTGTAATTGATCAAATTTCCGTTCAACAGCATTTGCATGAAATATGTTTGGTATTTGTGGAGGCTGGTCTCCCAGCGTGAGGAAGATAATTAATTTGACGGCATATAATATGCTGGTGGATGGATTTTAGATAATCACGATTTGAGAAAGGTGCGTTTCAATATCTCTGTGACTGTGTTGGGCGGGTAACATTCTCACCGGTTTTGAAAATATTTCAAAACGCCGATGAGACTTGCATGAAAGATATATACGTCCATAGTATTATAGTCATAATTATATAGTTGTTGTATTTTTCTCCACGTACTGCTCCGCTCAAATTTCCATGAACTATGCAACTCTGAAATTTTTCTTCATCGAGCGAGATTATATATACCAAAAATTATATCCCTAGTAGTAGAGGTCATCCACCATAAAACGTAATCTACTTCGTAAAATGTATACGTGTATGGTTCTATGGTCTATGAAGTAGGCTGACTTCGAAATCAACTTGATGTAAAATGGTTTGTTTATATGGCAACGCTCTGATATTTTGGGTTTGAATTTTTAGAATTTTAGAATAGATTCATTCGATTTTGACCAATCATCTTAAAGCTACAATTTTCAATATTCCATTGCTGTTGTAATATAGAATCTTCTTATATACCAAAGCATGTATTCTTTCTCGAATACTGATAAATATTGCCAAACCGGAATATAAACAATTAACTTCCGGCTAGAATTAGCGTTTATAATGAAGACAGACTTTCGTTTCCTCATATGTTGAGAAAGTGCACAAAATGAGGTCTGATCACAACCTCGCGTTATGGTCTAATTTGGTTGGAAATTGGAATGTTTTGAATGGATGTTTTGAACATTCAATAAGTGGGAGCATTTGGCCTTGGGATAACTTGGAAAGCAAAATTTGTGGATTTCACAAAGTTATTGCCATAGGAGTTATGCAATTAACTGGCAACCCCTAAACAAAATGTGGATGTACTGTATAGGTAATGTTTTGTGAGGCAGTTACTCTTTTATCAGTATAAACTATACAACTAAGAACTGTTCAGTTCCGGATGATGTATGTACTAAAAAGCTGACATCATCAACATGAAATAACTCATTTTTAACTATAGTGTGCAGAGCATACATCATACTAGGTCAAGCAGGAACCTGCACTGGTGACCGCGGTGCATGCATTAAACAAACAGCGAACTATATTCAAATTCCTAAAAGCCCATTTTGTTCAACTGCACCTCGATTGGGTTTGTATGGGCGGGGGTTTGATAAGCAAGTCAAGTACTATATGTGATAATGACAAATTAAGTTTCAATGATAATGACCAACATTTCAGTAGGCATCATACTGTTCATGCAGCTAACATGATACCCTCCTCTTGGGGGAACAGTAAACATTTTGAATGAGAATATGCCCGATTTGAATTTCAAAATTTCCCAACCCAATTAGGCAAATAAAATTAATTTTATTTATTTATGTAACAAATCTGATTAATTAATTGACACAGAGTTATTCTCAGTTATTAAAGGGTCATTGCTACAAGTTTTTCTATGATTATATATAGTTCAACGATAACTTTTAAGCTATTATTTATTACAATGATCTATTAGCTACTTTGTTATATATTTATTACAATTATTTATTAGCTACTTTATTATTTATTACATGTGCTCTACAATCTGAGCAAGCCTTCCACAATCTAAACTCTACCTTTTTAGATAAGTTAGATTAGGAATCTATCATTCTCATGAGTGAAAGTTACTCCATCAATTACTCCATATATTTTTAAAAAACTATTCCAAGTTTACTTCAAAAGCGATATGGTGTTTCTTAAACCAATTACAACAAATGTTCAACTGTAGATTTTATAGAAAGGCAATTAAGGCATGACATTTGCACGCAATACCCCATACCTGCCTCCCTTTAGACAATTGTGTATACAGTATGTATATACAATTAGTGATTAACAACTTGTATTACAATATTCATTATAGTTATATGTAGGGACTAGGGAGGATTTGTCCTTTCAAAATATTTGCTGACGGTAGTAAAATATGACCAGCCATTTGCCTGGTTGAACTAGAAATTTAGCTTTGTGAGAACACGTACTTGTAGCAAATCTGAGATGTTGTGTGAGATGTTGACTCATCATTAGGTCAACTTGCTCAAAAGGCAATTTTCATGGTGCATAAGAGATTACAAACTATCATTCCTTTGTCATACATAGTTTAATGTTTCCATTTGAAAGAAATATTGTATATTAGCTATAAACTTTTTCATGTCAGGGAAATTAGAGTCAAGTACAGGCCAAGAGCACAACCAAGGGCCAGGTCAATGCCAGGCAGGAGCATGGTGATCAGTAGGATATGGAGGGATTTGTCCCCAACCCCCTCCCAATAATTCACAATAATGAAATGTTGGTCAAATTTGTTATTGGTAAAAATGCAGCTTCAAATTCAACTAAATTGGCTAAACCTAATCACTGTTTCCTAATTAAGCCTTTTGTAAATAAGAAAAGGCATATTTTAACTAAACATTGTTAATTCCTCATTCACAATTCTCAGTAATTTTCTCAGCTCTTGCATGCAGTCACAAAAATAGAAACTGGTCAAATTTCTTATTGGTAAAAAATAAAGCTTTAAATTCAATTAAATTGGCCAAATGTGATGACTGTTTATAGTTAAGAAGAACATATTTGAACTAAACTGTTAATTCCTTATTCATAATTCTTAGTATTTTCTCAGTACCAGTCTCATCATTGGAGGATATCTCAGTAATTGCCAGATACAGTGAACATGATGGGTATTAGGGCAATGCTTCAGGTGCTGGGCTTGACAGGCCACACCTATTAAAATGTAACTAACTTTAGGTAAACACATACCGGCCACCATTTAATGATGTCTTTGATTAATTTACTGTGAATTGTGAAACACCTTATCAAGCTAAATTTGTATATTAGACTTGAAGGGAAGCTTAAATTTGGGGGGGGGGGAGAACCAAGTGTAAAAACAATTTCCATCAAAAGAGCTCAGTCGGAAGATGAATATATGAATCTACGCCCCCCCCCAATGAAGCTTCTAGTCCCTGTGACTCTTTACTGTTTAACAAATGGCACTTAAATGCAAATTATATCAAGTGAATTGAAAATCTTGATTCAACTATTTGATGGTACGTCAGACAGGAATTCTCAGGGTCCTAGCTAGGTAGCCTGCTAAAATGGAAGGGTGGTAATTCCATATATTATGGTAATTCCATATTAATTCATTTTTACATAGTGGAACAATAGCTTCCAAAAGAAATCAGTCAGGCATAAGTCGAATGTATGAATATGCACCGTTTAATTAAGCTTACTCTTCTAAGAAATTATGGAAAACCTGGCTAGCTTCCTGTAAACTACTGTATAATTTTGCACTTTATGTTTTATAAGACATTTTATCATTTTTTATAGAAAAATGAAATGTTTTTTCCTTCATTCTTTGCTTGTAAACAGTGGTTTAGGCCTTTTCTCTCAGTGATTATGATTTAGTGGTGTGAGAGGCTCTCATATCACTGATTCTTAATCTATACTTTAATCCGGCTGTAATGAAAACTTATTATTTAATTTAATATTAAAAGTCTGTTCCCGCTTATTTTGTTCCAGATGATCCCAGATATCTATTCGTTCCCGTGGACAATACCTGGACATCATACACAAGATGGCTTCGATCGATTTGCAAGAAAAAGCAAATTTTACAAGACTTAGTAGACTTTTGGTTGACAAAGGAACTGACGCTTTGAGAAATACTTTTGATACCATCCATCCACCTGTTAGTCTACCCGGAGTTCTGGCTGCAAACAAAACAACTCTTCAAAGAATAAAACCTCGAATTATTAATAATTCCCAGTGGGATTTACTGTTTCCTCCGTCTGGGAACCCGCCAGATTCCAAAACCTTTGATGTCACATTACTTACAGTTCTATTCCGGAACATTTGTGGTTTTCCATCAACAGGATGGGGTGTAATGCCTCCGGATACTGATAGGTCAACGCAAGCAAATATCGCAAGAATCAAGTGGTTAAGAAACGATGTTTACGCACATGTAACAACAACTAAAATCGACGGTCCAACATTTGAATCTTTATGGACGAAAATTTCCCAGGCGTTGGTAGATTTGGGCATTCCTCAAGATGATGTAGACGATTTAAAATTATGTCCTTTAGCACCTGAAGAAGAAGTGTTCGTGAAAGCACTTGAAGACTGGAAATTACAAGAGGATGTGTGCATTACCCTGCTTGGAGGAATTGAATCTTCTGTAAATCATTTGACACAAATCACTGAAGAGCTTCGTAAGTCGACTTTGGAGCAACGAAATAACGCGGTAGACGTCCTGCAACGACCCATCATTAGCGACGAAGATTTGTTGCGAAATCTTGCAAAGAATAACTTCAGGGCGGAAATTAAGAGCAAGGTAAAGTTTTTTCAAGCAGAAACAAGAGATTGGTTATTAAAACAGGTGGACGAGTGGTTTCACAAGAGTGATAGTGATTCAAGAATATTGTTGGTTGTTGCTGGACCAGGATTTGGTAAAAGCGTGTTTGCCGCTAAAATCTGTGAGAATTTCGGGAAGAATGGAAAGCTAGCTGCTTGTCACTTTTGTGATCTCAGTGAATCAAATCTTAGAGATCCAAAAATGATGCTGCAGTCCCTCGCAAGTCAAATGTGTGAGAACGTCCCGGATTTTAAAGAGAAGCTTCTTGATCAGTTAAAGCGACCTCACCACGTCCAAAGCCTAAAAGATGCCTTTCGAGTATACCTGCAAAATCCGTTGGATGAATTGGATTTCGACGAATCATGTTTAGTGGTAATCGATGGCTTGCATGAAGGTGCCGCAGATGATAAGACTGAAATCGTGGATTTGATTGCTGATTACTTTCCGGTTCTTCCCGAGTATGTTAAGCTTTTGGTGACGAGCAGGCCGGGAATTGCCGAGACAAAATTACGCGGCGTTCAAAAAATTGTTGCTGACTCTGATAGCCAAAATGACGTAAGTAGCTAATATTATTCGCTGTATTACCTTTTTGTACTCCGTTTGTTTAAAAGTGTGCAAATAATTTTCGTGTCATTGGTGTGGAAAACTGCAATGAATCTCGTATCTGCATGTGCACATGACAGATGAATATCGCATTTGTAGGTGCCCACGTACTTATCAGCGATTTTTCGGTGAGTGGGTTTGGGTTATAAGTGGTTGGGTGATAAATTCATTTTCATCAAAATTGTTCAAATTCCTGTTTAATGGCATGCTTATTCCTATTTGTCAATCAGTCAGTGAAGCCACAGTTAATAGAAGCGAAGCGTCAATTGGTCAATTTAATCACAGATTTAATCATTTATATAAAGTTCATCAGTTTTCCAACAAATGAACAGCTGTTTTTGAATAATGAATTGCTGGTGTATTATTTTGTCAACATTTCAATTGTTTCAGGTTCTCACAATTTCTGGAATGTATTTTGGTGATTCTATTATCCAGTCTCGAATAATTAAGGGGCTGTTTACATGAGCCTGGTTACCCGAGATTCAACGAAGCGTGAGAGGACTTTGAGGTATTGAAATGAGCAAATAACATGATCCTGGCAGTCATATAATCACCGCAACAATAGCATGTGCTTGTTTGGTGTCATAAAGACTTATTTCAATACCTCAAAGTCATCTCACGCTTCGTTGAATCTCGGGTAACAGGGCTCATGTAATCAGCCCCTAAAAAGGCATCATCCTCAGGCCCATTTTCCACTAGGCGAATTTTATTCGCGCGGCGCAAAGCAATGTCTAAAACCGGTGATGTGATTGGTTCGCGAAAACATCAGATGCGTAAAAATAACAGTTTTCTACTTTTTATCAGTTTGCGCGAATAAATTCGCCTAGTGGAAAACGGGCTTTTGGTATTAAAAAATATAGTTTTGAAAGGCTGCCTGCTCGCAGGTAACGGCTGCCCGTCACCTGTTTATGTGGCTAAACAACGCTCTTTTTTAGCTGGACGTCTTCCAAGCTGATTTGAATTCAGAAGTCCACACAAAGCTGGACGCTAAGGATGAAAATAGAAATTTGAGAAATGATTTTGTATTTGTTAATATTGATTCTTCAAAAGAGGGAGCAAGTGAAGCTACTAATCACGTGGTGATTTCAACTGGAAACGGTCGCAGTTCTGTGCATGATTTTTTTTATAGTTACCAGGAACCACGAGGCCCGCCTACAGCTCGAAAATACACCAATAAATCCCAACCTAAAAACGATACAAGTTGTCAGGACGGTTGTTGCCCGATATGTGGTCTATTTTTCACCAATGTTAGTAAGTTGCAGGCACATGTCAATGAATGTTTAGAATCTGATTCTACTGAGTCCGTCGGAAAAAATATCTGTCCAGTTTGTCAAGGGTCTTTTTCAGATGTGGACACACTTCAAGTTCATGTCATGGAATGCCTTGATGATTCGAATACTAAAACACAAACACAACAGCGTAAAGCTAAAAAAACTAAGTCGAGCAAAAAAAAGGTTTGCAAAAAATGTCACAGGACTTTCCCTGATTCGGACGCACTTCAGGATCATGTGATGAAGTGTCCTAAAGACTTTGAGGCTAAAAAGGAAAGAAAACAGACGAAAACTGAAACTACTGATTCAGTCGGAAAATTCAAATGCAAACGTTGTGACGCAACTTTTCAAGATTGGGAAACGCATCTAGAACATGTTACAGGCGGCGATCTTGATCCAAGTGATATGATTTGGAAGTGTCCTGATGGCTCTAATACTAAAAAGCAAGAAAAACAGTCGAAATCTAAAACTAGATTTATATGCAAACATTGTCAAGCATATTTTCCAGACTGGCAAACACATCTAAACCATTCTATACAATGCGCTGTTCAGACTAAAATGAAAAAAAAACAGAGGAAATTTAAAACTGCTGATTCAGTCGGATTATTCATATGCCCAGATTGTCAAGCATCGTTTCAAGATTATCAAATATACCAAGACCATGTTGTAGACTGCAAAATTGATAATGATGATACTTATGATAGCGATAGTGATGATACTGATGATAGTGATGATATAATGCGGGATTCTCCCTGATTATATCATTCTTTACACCATTTTAATGTTTTATATAATGTTTTATTTATTATTCCTTGCCATGCATGTACATACGATGCATCTCGCTAAATAAGTGATAACGATTGAATTTCGAGCTTTAGGGGCTGATTACATGAGCCCTCCTACCCGAGATTCAACGAAGCGTGAGATGACTTTGAGGTATTGAAATAAGTCTTTATGACACAAAACAAGCACATGCTATTGTAGTGGTGATTATACGACTGCCATGATTATGTTATTTGCTTATTTCAATACCTCAAAATCATCTCACGCTTCGTTGAATCTCGGGTAACCGGGCTCATGTAAACAGCCCCTTAGACAGTTTAAACATGTAAATAACATGATGACGATATTACGGACATAAGTAAGAAATAGCTTTATATTCTTCGGGATAATTGCTAAGACCTTTTAGTTGTCTATATTTCCCTCCTCGTCAGGGGTGGATCCAGCACTAGTGCACTAATTTGCATTACAAAACAAAATGGCTATTTTGAGCAGTTTTCTTGTGTCATGCAAATTATTGCACTAGTGCTGGATCCACCCCTGCTCCTCGTCAACGTGCTGGAAGTGAGGATCTGGATCAGGTTTTTCGAAAGGTTGATAAAGTTATTCACTGGATAGTGGCTTTTTCAACCGTCGTAAAAAGTTTTGAAAAACGAAACGGTACTTAATTAATTTATAATCGTTAGAAAGAATTTTAACTTCAAAATTGTGAAGTTTAATCTTGGCCATGTTAAATGATAAGGATTATTTTAACGTTTCAAATAACCACTATCCAGTGGATAACTTTATCCACCTTTCGAACAACTGGCCTCAGTTCTTGATTACCTTACCAATAGGATTGGAATCATCTTGCATAATAGTAGTATATAATATAATACAGGGGCCGGTTGTATGAAAACGTAGTTAAAAAGTCGTTAAAAAGTAGTTAGCCATCCAATGTGAATCTTTTTTATTGCATTTTTTCCAATATTTTAGATCAAAACACTGTCAATTTTTGTAAATACGAGTCCACAGTCTTGTTCAAAATCAATAACAGCGGTGAATAGCATGTAAATACTTCATGTTATTTGACAAACAAATAAACAAATATTTGACAAACGAACAAAATTTTGATTATTCCGGCGAAACCAAATATAATCGATAAGTTTTTATTCAAATGCTCTAGGCAAAATTTCCACACCAAGAAATGGGCGTTTCTCGTACATCAAACGTTCAGGCAAACTGTGATATAACTAAACACCTCAATTTCCGAATGCAATATTTACATATGAGTATCAAACAGCCTTATAAAACTGTAACATTGCGGGTTCGGTTTCTTTAATGTTTGTCATGTAAACGCGAAATTCAGATGAAACCAACCCCGGTACTTGGCCAGTATCGAACCTATTGAAATTTTCCTTCGATTATTTGCTACAGAGTAGACAACATCAAGTAAAAACTAGAAATAAACTGCATGTCCGAATAGATTAATATCCATTTCGATGTTGCCAAGGAAACCAAACCAGTACCTCGGTTGTTTATCCTTATAAAACAAGGGTGAATTTCGTTTTAGACCAATCAGCATGTTTGTTTACATTTTCAGTAAGCCAATCAGAATGCATAAATCATGACTACTCACTTCCGGTATTAAGTATTTAGGATTCTGATTGGCTCTGCCTGAAAAATGTAAACAAACATGCAGATTTGTTCAAAACGAAATTCCTCCTTGTTTCCTTATAATGAAATGACCACCAAGTTTCCTTCCATGAGCGATGGAAATATACCAACATATTTTTTGCCGAAATTTCATTTATTTGTTTTAAATTTTGACCACCCGCCAGTGTCGGAAATCTCGGTCGGATGGGGGCAGCCTTTCCTAAAATAGGCGATTAAATGGTAAAAAGAGAGAAAGGGAAATGACGTTTTGGAAAAATGGAAACACTGGTGAGAAATTTGCACTGGAAATTTGAGATTACGCAATGGAAACAAAACTGCATGGACTGTCGTGGAGAGTCATGGTTATATAGTTTTGATTAAAATGGTATAAAGAATTTTGTGAAACATACTAAAATAGGCGTATATGATAAGTGAGGTGCAGTATAAAGGTAGGAGGAATTTTGCGCTTCATTTTACTGTTGACGGTGTTCAAAGAAAACAACATTTAATTTAAAGCCAGTTTGTGTTTAACTCCACTCTCTTTAAAAGTGCGGCAATTTCGCTAAATTACAAACGTTCTGCATAAAACTTGTGATGCTCAGCAGTAATGTAAGAAAGCAATAGGCTATTTCTGATGTATTTAGAGAAGCAGCAAATGCAGCTTTGCCGTATGTGTTTCACGTTCGCCGTATAAAATTTAATGCTTGAACGGCTGAGGGTGTATGCAGTCGTTCAAGACAAAGGTGGAATCTGTTGTAAAGCGTTGTTCGATATCATCAACTGTACCAATTTATCGAGATATAAGACGTTGAAGATATTGTGTACACGTTTAGGGAAAATTCTATTGAGCCTAATTCGACGTAGCGCTCACTGGGTCCTGAAATGTAGACGTTCTACAGGGTGTCTCAAAAAAAAGCACAACCACTTAAACATGCAAGAATATTAATATTGTTTGGGTTTGCACCACAGTTCAGCAAAAATGACTTTTAAATACCTATGGGAGCTTTAGACGTGATCTACGTTCTGTTTACAACGACAAAACGTCGTTTATTACGTCCTATGTACAGGGTGTATCAAAAAAACCGCAACCACTTAAATATGCAAGAACATGAATGAGAAAAGCGCAATAGATAAGCACCTCTGGGAATTGAAAATAGCTCTTAATCCTTCATTTAAAATGTTAATAATTCATCAGTTCTTTTGAATGAAGCATTGTATTGATAGCTGCTGTCGTCGTGTTCCCGTCCTTTATGCTTAGGGTCCCTTGTAGCATTTGCATGTCACAAGCAATTAATGAGTGCTTTCAATGCAATTAATCCTTATGCAGTTATACTGTATGGGGAAAATAATCGTTAGTATGAGTGTATTTAAACCGTGTTCAACTTGCAATCACTAAAAGTGTAGAACATAGCAGAAAGATTACGTAGAAAACTTATCTCCCAAGAAGACAGAGAAAGAGGATTTCGTGCAGTTGAGGAACCAGGGGCCGGTTGTACGAAAGCTAGAAACAGCCGAATATAGCGCTATCCATTCCACCGGTTAGCAGTGGCGTAGCCAGCCTGACGAATTTGTCCCGCTATGTAAATTTCGTGTTATTATAATTATTCCTTTCCTTAGAATTTCATTGTTTTCACAGTCAATAAACACTAAAATATTAGCATAGCGGGACAAATCGTCAGGCTGGCTACGCTACTGCCGGTTAGTGTTTTTCAATCGTTTTAAAATCGCCCGTTGTTGCATGGGTATAACTTTAATATAATCTTACTTTTTAAAGTACGACGAGCTTCTGAATGTCGAAAAACATTTAGGCTCGCAAGTCATCAAAATGAGTACGAACTGTATTGTTTAAGTTCAGGAGCTTTATATTGAAGACTGGCACGTGCGCGGCACACCGGAATTATTAAACGCAAGAACAGGCGTCTTGTTACTCCGGCGTCAGCGATGGAGTTCAAAATTCGCCTCGGAATTGTTTTGTTTTTTTGTTTTTTTTAATTAATATTCTTTTTATTATCTTTCGTCGTCGCAAGTGTGTTTAGGGGCGAAATATACTATTATTTGAAAAGTGTATGTGACCGTACTTATCTACGTCACAGTTTTGTCTCCCAAGAGTTGTGGTGCACAGCTCGAAATCTTTGACTAATTTTCCGATGCGCGATTCGATTTCGCTCGCATGATACAGCAATTCCTCCAAGGGAACAAAAAACCGTTCTTTTGATGATGTTTCATTAAGTTTAGATTTAATTGGGGTAAGAATATATTTAATACATGTAGATTCTGGTCCTATTTTAATAATATCGCTGCTACGTACGTATCATGCGGTTTATTTACATTTTTGAAAAATTGAACTTCTATACTTCTTAAAGTACGATGTGCTTCTGAATGTCACGATCGAACAAAATTTTGGTTCGCAAGGCGTCTAAATGAGTATGAACTGTATTGTTTATGTTCAAAAGCTTTATATTGCATGAAGACTGCACGTGCGCACCAGGCGCCGGTTGTTCGAAAGGCGTTTAGCTTGAACGGTGCATGCATGGATAAGCCAAAGTTTAAAATTACTCTCATGCATCTTGTAAATGACTACATCTGCATCTTACGCATTTAATATGTACTTCCATTGACAATTAAGCTATTTACATCGAAATATTTCAGCTCAGTTGTTCAATAAATATATAGTTCTGCTTTCTATTTTGAACTTATCCACCGTTTAAACTAAACGCCTTTTGAACAACCGGCCCCAGGTTTTATGTCATGTTTGTATTTAAAACTCACTAATCTAAACACAATAGTCAATATGTATGAGAATGTGCTTGTTGTAATCGCATGGACTCTCCAGTGTTGTTCTCCATTCATTCTGTCTGAACTCTGAAGGTGACTTTGAATCAAAGAGGAAGTTTACAGCCTTTAATTGACTTGCGTATTCTCGAAATTCTTTGTTTAATCGAGGTTTAACTTAACTCTTTTAAATTGTGCGGCTGGCCGTGGATTTCGAGATTAGTGGGGTTTTTGTTCCTCATTTATTCTGTCGGAAGATGACTTGTCGAAAATTGAATGAAAGTCGAAAATTTACCATTTTAATTTGCATCTTGTCTTGAATTATACATGCATGTTGTATTTTCAAAATGTTTTGTTTATTCGAGATTCTCTTTTTACTTTACATTTTTAGACTGCGCTGCTGCATGGTCGTCATTTTTAAGACTCAGTTCACTCACTTCACAGTAGGATTCGTTTACAAAAATATCCGTGTAAATTTTGATCATGCTGCGCATTTTATAATAACCCGCAAAAATGTAATCCATCTCATGACATTAATCGGTGGACGAGGTTTTAAATTAATCAAATGTATTCCTACGCAAAACTACATTTCTGCGCGCATTTGCATTTTGATTTAGGTGTAATTATTTGTGATATTTTGGCCATGTAGATAAATTATCTCATTCTAAATTTTGAAGTGGTACGTTTGTGATTATAAATTACTTATCATCAAGATAGTAAAGTAGACACGGTCGGTTGTATGTGTATGTAGGTGCAGAACAGCGCGT